TTTTTGGAATGGAAATTCCGTCACCTGCTGGTCAATTTGCTGATAATCCTAGTGTTTGTTTGCTTATTTTTTCTTTCTTTTTTAGAAAGTGCTAATTTTATTGCTCTTTTCCCACAGTTTGTCTGTATTTTGGGGTGGATTCTTCTTTGTTCTTCTGAAAATGCTCATTTTACTGCAACAGATTCTCTGTTGTTTCCGGACACTGAGCGGTCATTCTTCTGCGCTGAAGTTAAATCAGGGGAAATTCAGAATCAAAACAACATTCTGAGTAGCGCGATTGAGCTACATTCAAAAGATAACGAGCACAGCATAACTTACCGGATTACATATAAGTACGGATTTTCAGAGAAAACAGTGTGAACGAGTAATCAAGAAACTGTTATCAAGGCGAACGCGTGCTCGGCTCTTTTATAAGCTTTCAGCTGATCCTGGAAAGCACGAGAGTGTAAGACAGTGCAGAAAATCGGCCAGACTACTACGTCGGCAGTGCCAAGCACTATCGCACTGCTGCCCGCTTCACAGGTTTCCAGTTGCATCTTTTATTCCAAATCAGCCACGTGGCTTGAATTTACCGAAGCTTTTCTGAGAAAGGCTTTTTTTAAAAAATTCTAGAAAAAGTATCCTCTTTTCTCATCTCCCTCCTTCCCTCTCTCCCAGTCCCTCAAGCTCTCGGTTCGCCACTTTCTTTGGACTCAAACTTCCTCTTGATTACTTGATTCTCAAGCCATAGTTAATATTAACCATTCTAGAAGTGGATATTGAAATACCAGTATTTTCAGTTCTTTCTTTTTGTTTTGTATGTGCTTGCATTTTTATTTACGCTGCTAGTGGGTGTTGCCTATAGTTTCAAATTGAAAACTCGAGATTTTTTCCAATTTGAGCTTCTTCTGAAGCACGGTTTTTTTTTTTTGTTTGAAGAATTTGTAATGCAGTCGTTAGTGATTCGAAAAGTATTTTCTTTCAAGCAGCATTTTCTTCCAAACAATTTCTTCCAAGCAATAAATTTTTAAGAATTTAAAGTATTTAAATAATTTGAAATTTCATCGTCCCCCTCCTGGAATATTTGCTATCAATGCAGGCCTACAAAGCTAAAAAGAAGCCTGAATGTATTTC